TAGCAGACTCGGAGATGAATTTGCAAATGGCAAGGTGAGTCGTGGGTCATCAGACATCAAACGCTCACAAAGTTCTTCCAATATTCAAAGCAAGTCCGATCTAAGCTTAAGAAGGACGGCATCGCTACACAGGAACGGCACGTCAGCGGCTCAGCCGCAGAGCATTCCTATGGACAGGGGCTCTCAGAACACCCTGCAACGCACACGCTACAGCACAAACTCACTGGGTAGAAAGAAGGCAGTCCCTGAATCGAGCTTCTGAGACTTACACCCAAATATCACAACAACGTAGCAAATATCTAAAAGCCCACGTAAGAACTATGTTAAGAAAGTAAGGTTTGAAATGATGGCAGCACACTATGAAGTTGCACATACATTTGGAATAAGTGGATGATATTTTTGTTCATTTTTCTCTGCTTTTATGAAGTGCCTCTGAACCAGAGCTATTTTTTAGATTTTTGTCAGATTGTGTTTTGGCACTGGAAGTACATTACACACTGGCCTCTGCACCATGATTTTGAATTGAAAAATTATTTGCCTCGGATTTGATTTTTATGTGCCACTAAATAGATTTATCACCTGTAATACATGAAGGGAATCGCTATATATATAACTTTTATGATTCTGTAGATTGTACTGACTGGCTGCTAACCTCTCATGGGTTTTCATGACATTTATCAAAGATGTCAGTTCTTGCACTTTCAGTGAATTTATTGCACCACTGTCTGACTTAATCGTGCTCTCAGACCAAAACATAAAGCTTATTAATTTTTGCTTGCTTTGCAGTATGCATTAAGACATTTACAAATTTGTATTATAAAATTATCTTTAAAAAGTATGAAATCTAACAGAATCTAAAGGGGTGAGATATCTTTCTAATGCTCTATCACATATGTACAAGGATGGCATGTTGACAACACAATGTATTAGACAGAACACCTTAGTAAAACATTGTCATTCTGAAAAGCACAATCACAACAACCTCACCTTATCACCAGTGGTTTAATCCATCACCTAAACCTAGTTTGAATGCAGTAACAAGAACCTGATTAACTTAAAGGATAGTACACCAAAAAATGTAAATTGTCATTGTTTTCTCACCCTCATGTTGTTCCAAACATGTTTGACTTTTTTCATTAATAGACCACAAACAAGAGATGTTAAGCAGGATGTCCATGCTGCTCTTTTCCATTCAAAGAAAGTTAATGGTAACCAGCAACTATCAAGCTCCAAAATGATGACACCATTAAGCCTTTAAAGCCTATTTGATACATTTAAATTACCTCTAAATTATCTATATAATCAAAACATCACTAACAAACCTGTTCTAAGTTCAACACAATCTTCTGCCCTCTGATTGATAGTATGTGCTTTTTAGCAAGTACAAGGCCTTTTAGTATAATTGTAAAAACTGTCCACCTTCTGTTCGTGGTACATGTCTTTTTGCTGTGAAATCTGGATTCTTATAAAGTAAATTTAAGAATTACATTTATAGTGTTATTAATGTTTCAATACTGGACTGAAGTTAGGTTTACACACACACAAGTATTAGTTAATAATGATAGTCTTAAATAGACTAAATAGAAAGTGCTTTTTTTTCTCACACAAATTCATCATATGGCTTCAGAACACTTGACATTTATCAGACTTGTAAGATGGGCTACTTTTAGTGTGCTGTTTGATATATTTGTAGGTTGACACCCCCAGTCATCATTGACTTTCATTGTATGAAAAAGAGCAGTGTGAATATTCTGCTAAAGTGTTGAGAAAAAAAAAAGAAAGAAAAACATACAGGTTTGAAACAACAATGTTCATTTTTTTCATTCCTTTAATGAAGCTCGTCTGAAAATGTTTGATGTGTTCAAATAACGTGGAGATCTAGCAATACCAATGACTGTAGAATAAAAAAAAGCCTCAATGTAACCAGTAAAGTGACCTTAAAGAGTACACATCTATGACACAGATTGTGTTTGGCTGTAATTGCTCGGAACAAGTCAGAATATGTCATATTGTCACCTTCCTATTTGGACTAAATGGGTCCATATGTCCATTAATCAGAAGTCATTCTTATGTATCCCTCTCTAGAAGCATTTAAATAGTCTGAATGCAGCTCATTCAACTATACTGCTATATATGCACTGCAAAGCTCACTCTTTTGCAAAATATAACATTTTTGCATTATCAAAGATTAAAACACTTTTCTCTCAGTGTGATTGTGATTGAATCAAAATCCCACATTTGTGTGTTAAATTAATCTAACAAGTCATAGACCAAACAGAAACTGTCCTGTTGATTATTGCATATGATATGAAATATTCACTAGCTCCTCACATTTAAAATACTATGTTCATCTCTTTGCAATCTAGGCTCATTGGAAAAACATGCCTCTACCTCCATTTTTGCAAAACTCCAAAAACGTACCTGTACATAATATTCACAACAGTTTCCAGCTGAAATTAACACTAGTGGAGGTAAAACACTAACAACTTTTATTCTTTTTTACACAAATTTTGATTACAGGAGCAGATTATTTATTAATAAAGACTTATTTTTGTGCAGTTCCTTGCACAATTTTATGTTATGACCTCAGAACCGTTTTACCACAGTGCATGATTTGTAAACTAATACTGTACATAGTGTTTGCATCATGTGACCAGCTCCATATATTATGCTCCATCTGATATAGTAAACTTGCTCTTTAACTCACCTGGTACAGCACTGCAAATGTGATGCAGAGCACTTCCGCAGGAGTGCTGCTGAAACACAAGTCACAGCAAAAGAGCTCAAAGACTTAAATGACATGGCAAATGTGTCTTTATCTCATGATTTTAACGATTTATTGTGAGTGGTATTGTATGTCAGATGTGATAGAGCATTCACATTTAGCACCACAAATGTTTCATTTATAAACTGTGACAATTTGTACAACAACCAGTGTAATGAAACATTGCCAGATTCACATCCACCTGTTTGGAGTATTAAACGTTAGCGGTGATTCTTACATGCTTGAGTGCAAAAAGCGACAATATAATCTGGCCGAAATGTTGCCACAGGCAGTGTGTGTATGTGTGTATGTGTGTGTGTGTGTGTGTGTGTAATGTTATGCAGTAAAGTTTGAATTGCACTGTAGAATAAGGTTTAATAATTGATAAATGTACATGCTGTTTCTATATCACACAGTTTATATTAGTTTTTGTTGATCTGAATAAGCAAAGATATGAAATGAAGGTTTGTTTGTTTCAGTGCTCAAACACTGTCGTAAGAAAAAAAGCGTATACAGTTATATTGCATTTATTTTGTCCATTACTGTGCTGTAGAAGTTGTTATACAATCGCACCAGATAAGAGATGATTTACAGTTTTAAAGTTTTCAGCATAAATTGAAAAAAATCAAGGAAAACAATTTTTTTTTCCAGCTTCGTTGAAATGTAAGTTTTTGTCTTCTTCTGTCAACATCTAATCATCCCTGTTATTTTGTTGATTATGTCAAAGGGGTTATGCAAAAAGCAGCAATTACACAGCATGTAACAGGATTTGTGTAGACACAAAGGTCTGCTCCCCAAGAGCATTTCGTTTTTTTCCATTCCCATGCTTCCAAAATAATCTTACTTTTTACTATGCTTGAAATACTTGTACTGACAAGACAATGAATGAAGGAATCTTACCCTGAAATCTTCTCTTTTTTATTTGGTTTCTAAGATGTTTTATATGCAACTTTTTATAAACATATTGTTGTGTGTGTGTATTATACAAAAAATCAATGGATAATATATCTGAGAATAGCGTATATAGGGATAGATTATATGTACAATTCAAATTATCATTGAATTATTGCACAAGGGTACATGTTCTGCTGTCAAGATGATTATATACAGGTTTGAGTGGACCTGTGTCTATACAATAACAATAAACGGATATATTTTTGTATAATTTCTGAAATTAAAAAGACATTGGTATTCACGTCACGTTTCTTAGACTCTTTTAAGCATACTAGTTTCAGCATTTATCTTGATTCACATCTAAAAGTGTGTTTATTTGCATACTGAATGACACTAAAACTGTCACTGCTCTTTGCAGCACTTTGACTGTGAAAAACTCTTTTTGCTTTGGCTACAATAGCTCCAGTTCCTGAGGGAGTCTTCACAGTGCATGCAAAGAGCAGCTTGATCCATTCCTCATCAGCATGCACTACCCTATAATCTCCATCCTCAGTTTGAAGACATTGGTGTCAATGTTTCAGTATCTCTGCTGTGTCAAGTAGAAATCTAAATTCTGGTATTTTTCTGTATTTATTCTCAAAAGATTGATTTACATCATTTTGATCAAATTGAATCTAATAAATTTACTATGCACTTCAGAATGATATAATTCTGCCATAATTGTTGTAATATTACAAGGAGTGCAAGGACAAGAAAGTGATGCTTGATTTGTCTGCCTGCTAGAGATCTGTAATTATCTCTGAGATGTTTGGGACCACTGAAAACTGTCTGGGAAAAAAAAAGCCACACATACAAACTTAGATAACTGCCAAATTCCTCTTACCTTTGCTGTATATGTTAACATTGTGTAGGTGTTTTTAAAAACAGACAACAGTTCACCCCAAAATGAAAGTTCTGTCATCATCCTCATGTTTCAAATTTATATGATAACTATAAAGTTTCTTCTGTGGAATACGAAAGAGCAGGTTAGGCAGAATGTTAGAGACTGATAATCTCAGTCACCATTCACATTTATTGCAGCTCTTTTCCACATAATGAAAGTCAATTGTGTGGGCAGAAATTGTCAATAGACAGTTGTCTATAGTGTCGATAGTGTAGCAATCCATGGAGCAGAGCAAACACAGAAGTCACTTTCAAAACAAGAAGCTTTCTGTTGGTCAGTACAATGAATGAAATCTATGTGGGGAACTTCTTTCCCCTCACGCAAAACTCCTGATCAAGCACAGATTCCCATTGGAATGATTGGATTTCTCCTTTAAAATTTTCCATAGCAACAGTAAATGTGACTTTGAGACTGTCATTCTGCTTAACATTTCATTTTGTATTTAATGGAAAAACATAAGTCACTTTAACAGGTTAGAAACAACATGAGGGTGATTAGATGAAACTTTCATCAAAAATGTTCATCTTTGATGTTTCATCCGTCTCTGTTTACAGCATTGCTACATTTAATATAGGCCCATTGCTACATTTAAAGGACAAATAATAGGTTCATATGAGACCTACAATAGATTGCTAATTTAAACATTTTATTTAATATTTACTGCAATTGTTTCATTAGCCATCAGCTCATACAAGTTCTGATAAACTGCTATGAAAGAAGGTGAAACAGAGAATTGAGGGTGAAGCTTATAAACTTTTAGGAAAGAAATCAAGTTCATGCTGTAACGAAGGCAGTCGTGATGACGGAGTTGGGGATCCAAAAGCAAGGCTTTATTTCATAGAGCGTAGTCATAAGAGGCAGGGTCAAACACCAACAAACAATAACATCCAAGGCACAGGCAAAAGAGTAATCCACGAGACAGGCAAAGGTCAGGGCAGGCAGCAATAAATCAAAAACAAGGTAACTGTCCACGGATCAAAACACGAGAAAGGCAAAATCTAGGAAACCCGGAAGGGCTAAACATTCAATCACCAGCGAAGACAGAGTGTGTGTGTGCTATTCTTATAGTCCTACTAATATGAGGCAGCTGTGAACTGGCAATGAGTTCTGATGAGTCCGGGCAAAGTATTATAGGAAATTGAGTCCTGAGTGAATGGCAAAGTACAGAATGGAGAGTACCAATAGGGCAAAAACACCCCTGAGTAAAGGTAAGTTTATAATGCACACATGGATTAGCAGTTAAAACTTTGCAGTTTGCTTTGCATTCTATAAATGTAAAATTCTCTCTTTCTTGTTTGTTTGCTTGCTTTATTGTGATATTATGTCGGATGTTTGTATTTTGAAGTGTAAAGCTAATTATTTTATTTTATGTTCATTTCGTATCTTCATTATTATCAAAATAATCTGGCTAATTTTGCATCCACTGAATGCATTTATACAACTCAATCTGAATCAATATGACATCCATTTAAATATATATTATGCCTGGTGTTATTCAGATGCATCCATTACTGACTGAGATTGTGTTATTTTATCATTATTTAATTATTCCGTTCTCAAAATGCATAACTTTACATAGAATGTTTGATTTATTATTTTACTTAACTTTTGAAAAAAAACAAATCAAAAATCAGAGGACAGTTTGAAGTTTACTCTGTAGGATAAATGCACTGCAAAGTAGTTTATACTCAGATGAGTCAGATCTCATGTTTTTAGCCTTAAATGGCATCTCATAAAGTGCCACACACACAGATGACATCAGTGAGCCCATGGTCTGCTTAATACAAGGTTGGCAAAAGGGTTTATACTTTGGAAGTGTAAAGTCCATATGCTATTGTTAACCACATCTCAAGGTAACCGAAGCAATAGGGAGCTTAAAGGTTGTTATTTTGAGTATCTGTCTCCTTGAGTATACTCAGAAACATCATTAAGGTGACAAGTCTAGATGGAGGGGTCTTAGACTTCTTTAAATATATTTTTCTGTTACAGGTAAACAAATCATTAACAGAGTGATGGTTATATAAAAGTTCTGGATAAACAGTTTTCTCTTTCTGTGTTATTTCTGTCTTTATATACCTAGTTAACTAACTAATGATGGGCTCAACATATAAAACTCAAGGAATTCTGATTGTGATTTTGTTATT